AAAAGAAAAAAGGAGAGAAAAGAAAAGAACAGTGAATGAAACAGGAAATAAGAAAAAAAAAAGAAAAGAAAAGAAGTAAAAGGAAAGAAAACAAAAGTGGAAGAAAAGGAAAGATCGCAACAATGAACGTAGTCGTTTGAACTACGTTTGACTTGATCCCGAAAGGGTACGTAGGCAGCCTCACTGAGGTTCAGTCATAACAAAAGAAAAATTCAAATAATCCCCGGAAGGGAAACTGGGGAAGAAGTTATGGTTGTTGCATGAGATATGATTCCGAAAGTTGTAATTTTGGACCCACGTTCGAATTATTTTGAGCTTCTATACCTTTCTTTCTAAACCCATCCAAAAGCCACATTACGGACCAAAGAAAGACCTTCCGATCAATCTTAACAAATGTCAATACAAGCAGGTAAAGTGATTTTGTTGGGGACAACACTCTGGTGCCAGAAGGAAAATGACGAAATGAGAGAGTCTTATTGGTGAAAACCCTCACGGGCACCGTAAGGCGAAGTGAGTTTGAAGAGTCTTATTGGTGAAAACCCTCACAGGCACCGTAAGGCGAAGTGAGTTTGAGAGATATTAGAAATGAGAGAGTCTTATTGGTGAAAACCCTCATGGGCATCGTAAGGCGAACATGAGTCTTCAGATGTGCAAATAAAGAAGTCTGTGGTTGAAAGATGTTTGAAACATGGTGAAAGAAGCAAGGTTTGGGTTTTGTTAAAAGTCGGGCGTGAAAGTATGGGGCAACAAATGTGGTAAGTAACAATTGATTGGTTGGACAGACTAGGTTGGGATCCGAAGTGCATGGCACGATCAACGGAATCAGCCTTTCCGCTCAGATAAGTCTTGTCTTTTTCTCTTCATTACCACTCATGCATTTCCAAAGTTTTCTATCCTCAAAACCCCTGAGGTCATTGCATTTCATTCTCTTAAATTCTGTCTGTAAGACGTTTTAGTGTTAGTTCTGTTCAAAAACAAAAGAAGGATGTCAAAGCTAACTACCAGCTTCCCAGTTGGATGGCACAACAAGTTGAGGACCTGTCGAAAGGGAGTAAAACATGAAGGGTCAATAAAGTCAGGGGAATAATCAGACGTTTGCAAGGAAGAGGCAAGGTTCACAAGAAAGGAATAGGAACACCAAACAGTAACATGAAGTAAACATGGGGGTCATCGAGATTTAAGGGTTGAAAGTCAACTGGAAATCGGGGCAAGTCAAAGCAAGTCCAGGAAGCAAGTCAGGGTGGATGTCAGAAGCGGGAGCATGGCCAACAAGAATGCCAGCAGCTAGTCACCATTTTACATTAACAAAGTTTTCTTTGATTGAAACAGGGGCATAAATTTTCTTTGGGGTTAATTTGTCGCAATCAGGCGCCCACCTGGAGAACAAGGGAATACTTTTCGAGTTTCAGCAATCAGGCGCCCACCTGGAGAACAAGGGAATACATTTCAAGCTTTAGCAATCAGGCGCTCACCTGAAGAACAAGGGAATACATTTCAAGTTTTAGCAATCAGGCGTCCACCTGGAGAATAAGGGAATACTTTTTCAAGTTTTAGCAATCAGGCGCCCACCTGGAGAACAAGGGAATACATTTCATGTTTTAGCAATCAGGCGCCCACCTGGAGAACAAGGGAATACTTTTCAAGTTTTCGCAATCAGGCGCCCACCTGGAGAACAAGGGAATACTTTTCAAGTTTCAGCAATCAGGCGCCCACCTGGAGAACAAGGGAATACATTTCAAGTTTTCGCAATCAGGCGCCCACCTGGAGAACAAGGGAATACATTTCAAGTTTTAGCGATCAGGCGCCCACCTGGAGAACAAGGGAATACATTTCAAGTTTTAGCAATCAGGCGCCCACCTGGAGAACAGGGAATACTTTTCAAGTTTTAGCAATCAGGCGCCCACCTGGAGAACAAGGGAATACATTTCAAGTTTTAGCAATCAGGCGCCCACCTGGAGAACAAGGGAATACATTTCAAGTTTTAGCAATCAGGCGCCCACCTGGAGAACAAGGGAATACTTTTCAAGTTCAACAATCAGGAGCCCGCCTGGAGAATAGAGGCACATATTGCAAATTGCAGCAGTCAAACATCACCCGGAGGAATGGTGAAACATCTACAATCAATGCAAGGCAACAACGCAAGAATTCCAGTGGAAAGATACAAGTTCAAGGCAACACAAAGAGCAATTTAGAAGACATAGATAGAACTCTTTGTAATTCATAGATCATAGCTTAGTCCAGCTTCTTTTATTTTTTATATGGTGTAATAAGGAGGTCAGTGAGCAGTAGCAGCAACAACAGCAGTGAAATCACAGCTCTTGGTAGTCCCAGCTACCAGACCTTCCCAAACTACACTGACCTGATTCCTATTTAGCCCAGGATATGTAGGCAACCCCTGAAGCAGGGTGCGGTCAGGCTTTTCCAAAATTGCTTCACACGGAATATGCAGAAGGGCAAAAATCATTCATTCTGCTCACTTGTCTTTGCACGAAAACTCTTCATGTTTCCGGGCAAAGAGGGGCAGCTGTGAGCATGTGATTTTTGCCCTAAGCAGTAATTCCCAAAATTTCAAACAAAATAATTTTTTCTAGTATTTTATAATTTTTTGTGAATTTTGTGGCATTCTTTGGTAATTGTTGCATTTTTATTTNAATCTCGACCTGCATCACAATTCATAGGCATCTCAAGTTTTTTTAGATATTGACCCTTTGCTTTTGACATTGATCGAATGTCTTGACTATTTGATTTGCGTCTTGGTAGATCGATGGCCAATAGTAGCCACATCAAGCACTTTTTTCGCCGTCCAGTTTCCTCCATGATGACCTCCAACCGGGGAGTCATGGCATGCCTTGATAATTGGCACTACCTCATCTTCTGAAACACACTGCCGAATGATCTTGTCAGCACAAATACGGAACAAAAAGGGTTCCTCCCAATAGTATTGCCTACACTCCCGCAAGAACTTTTTCTTTTGATAAGCTTCCAATCCATCGGGAACAAGGTCACTAACCAAAAAGTTAGCGATGTCGGCATACCAAGGAGCGAATGTGCTGGACAATGCCAATATTTGCTCATCTCGAAAGGCATCATTGATTTCAAGGTCCTCTTTTGGTCTCCCTGCCTCTTCAAGCCTAGATAGGTGATCCGCAACTTTATTTTTTGTCCCTTTCCGATTCTTGACTTCAAAGTCAAACTCTTGCAACAGAAGGACCCACCAAATAAATCTTGGTTTTGCATCCTTCTTCTCCATAAGGTAGTGAAGAGCAGCATGATCGGTGTAATCTATCACTTTGGACCCCAACAAATAAGCCCGAAATTTTTCAAAAGCATTGACAATGGCAAGAAGTTCTTGCTCAGTCACAGTGTAATTCATTTGACCAATATTAAGCGTCTTGCTTGCATAGTAGATAGGGTGGAGGATTTTGTTATGTCGTTGACCAAGCACCACCCAATAGCTACTCCACTAGCATCACACATGAGATCAAATGGAAGGGGCCAATCGGGTGTGACAATAATAGGTGTCGCGGTGAGCTTTTCTTTCAATTCCTCAAAAGCTTTGAGAAACTTCTCATCAAATATAAACTTTACATATTTTTCAAGGAGCTTGAACATGGGGTTTGCAATTTTTGAGAAGTCCTTAATAAAATGCTTATAGAAGCCGGCTTGTCCCAAAAAACTTCGGACACCTTTTACTGAAGTGGGTGGAGGAAGCTTTGAAATAATTTTGATCTTCTCCCGGTCAACCTTTATGCCTTGTTTGGAAATTTTGTGTCCCAACACATTGCCCTCATCCACCATGAAGTGGCATTTCTCCCAGTTTAGCACAAGGTTTGTTTCTTCACATCTTTTTAGCACTTGTCTAAGGTTGTCAAGACAATGATCAAAGGAATCACCCACTACAGAGAAGTCATCCATAAACACCTCTAAGAAATATTCCACCATGTCCGTGAAGATTGACATCATCCAGCATTGGAAAGTAGCTGGGGCGTTGCGTAGCCCAAATGGCGTACGGCTAAAGGCAAACGTCCCATATGGGCATGTGACTGTTTTCTTCTCTTGATCTTCCAAGGCAATGTTGATTTGGTTATAGACGGAATATCCATCCAAGAAGCAATACAATGACCTTCCCGCTAGCCGATCAAGCATTTGATCCATAAAAGGCATAGGGAAATGGTCTTTGCAAGTAGCACTGTTTTGCTTCCGATAATCCATGCAAACTCTCCATCCGGTCACTGTTCTCGTTGGCATGAGCTCATTATTATCATTTTGAATCACGGTCATGCCTCCTTTCTTTGGCACACATTGCACTGGACTCACCCAAGAACTATCGGCAATGGGGTAGACCACCCCGGCATCTAACCATTTGATTATTCTTTCTTTACCACCTCTTGCATGGAAGGGTTTAACCTTATTTGATGCTCCACTCTTGGTTTGCTCTCTTGCTCCAATTGCATCTTGTGCTCACAAATTCCAGTGGGAATCCCTTGGATGTCCGCTACTGTCCACCCATTTGCTTGCCTGTGCTCCCTCAAGACAATTCAACAGTTGTTCTACCTGCACATCATTCAACAAAGAGGAAACAATTATCGGTAGAGTGTCATTAGAGCTAAGAAATGTATACCCCAAGTGCAGTGGAAGTGGCTTGAGCTCATATTGTGGCGGCTCAATAATTGAAGGCTTGGCGGGAGGAGTAACTCTATTCTCTAAGTCAAGAGAATGTTTCTTTGGTGCATAAGTGTAGGACCCTAGTCCTTCTAATACCTTCACTGATTCCATGTACCCCTCCATGTCTTCACCATCAAAATTTACCAGAATAGCCGCTGACTCCTCACCAAGGCATTGTTCTTCTATCTTCATCTCGATTGCGTCTTCTACCTCATCAACAACATCAATGACTGAGATGCTTTTATATGCATGTGGCAACTTCATACCCTTACTCGCTTGAAAGGTAACCTCTTCGTCATTAACTCGGAACTTGATCTCATTTCATTCCGAATTTATTAGTGCTTTCCGATAGCAAGAAATGGTCTCCCCAAGATGATAGGGATTTCTTTGTCAACAGCACAATCAAGGATCACAAAGCTGGCGGGGAGGAGGAACATTCCCACTTTCACAAGAACATCATCAACAATCCCCACCGGTCTCTTTATTGAACGATCGACCATTTGCAACCTCATACTAGTAGACCTCGGCATACTTAACCCTGCTTGCTTGTAAATAGAAAGAGGCATTAAATTGATGCTAGCCCCATTATCACAAAGAGCTCTTGCAAAATCTCGTACCCCAATAGTGTATGAAATGGTAAAAGCCCCCGGGTCTTCTTTCTTTTGAATGGTGGTTGTTGCAATGATGGAAATAAACCGGTGAGTCACATTCACCACTTCATTCTTGGTGCTTTTCTTCTTGGTGATCAAGTGTTTCAAATACTTAGCAAAACCCAGCATCTCTTGAAGTGCATCCACAAATGGAAAATTCACCGGTAATTGCTTGAGAATGTCATAGAACTTCTCGAGTTTGCTATCATCAACCTTCCTAGCAAGTATTTGGGGAAAAGGAGGAGGAGGTCTAGGAACTGGGGCTAGAGTTTTTGGTGTCTCTTTCACTTTTTCCTTAACCTCTTCCCGATTCACTTCTTGAATTTTTACCTCTTCTGGGACTTTTCAGCTTCAACAACATCTGGCACCTCTACATGTGCCTCAACTTCTTGTTCGGAATCTTCCACTTCGACCACTTGTTCATTCTCTCCTTGAAGTATTTTCCCACTCCGAGTTGTGATTTCCATACAATGAGAAGTTGGACTGCTCCCACTACCTTTTGGGTTTGGAATTGTGTCACTTGGGAGTGTGCCCTTTTGCTTCGGATTTGCTCTCTTGAGGGATCTCTCATTTGCATCTCCAACTTTTGAATAGATGCGGTATGAGAGCCGACAAGCTCGTTCATATTCCTCATTGAAATATCGGATCTGTCTTGATTTTGCAATACTCGTTCAAGCGTGTTTTCCAACTTGGAATCACTAGAAGAACCTTCCTTCCAATGTGGAGATTTGGAATATTGCCCTTGGTAAAACATAGGGGTTTGAACTCCGATTTTAAAAATTATTGTTGTTGTTGTTACTCCAATTCCCTTGATTTAACTACCTTGGTCATTTCGCCACTGTTGGTTGCTTTGCCCTTGCGGGTTAGACCTCCATTGGTTTTGTTGTCCTGAACCTTGGTATGGTTGCCTTTGATTACCTCCTTGAGAATTGTTGACATAATTTGCTTCCTCGTAATCCTCATTTGATGTGGGTTGAACATCTTCCACCACATTCACCTTTTTTGTTTGGCTTTCAGTGTACATCTTTGTCAATACATTGATGTTGGTGGCAAGCCCGACAATTACCTGATCTCTTTGTTGGTTCTCCTTAATCATGTTGGTCAAGGAAGGAGTACCATATGCAATTCCACCCGTGGTGTCCTCTGAGTGCCAAGCTTGGTTATGTTTTGCCATTTTGTCAAGGACTTGTGTAATCCTCGCAAATGTTTTATCCATAAATGATCCATCAGCAGCATTTTTGGCTATAGATTGATTCATACCATCCAAGCCTATGTAGAATTTCTCCAACAAGAATAGAATCCAGAAAACCATGATTCGGCGACCTCACTAAATAAAGCTTGAATTGATCCCACGCCTCATGTAGGTGTTCTCCCGATAATTGCTTAAAAAAGAAAATTTTATCTCGGAGCTTAGATTTCTTGCTTCGCGGGAACCATTTAGCTAGGAAAGCTCGGACGAGTTCACCCCAAGAATGAATGGAATTTGGTGGTAGATTTTGGATCCATTTCCTTGCCTCTCCAGCCTGTGAGTACTTGAACACCCTCAATCTTAGGATGTTGTTCTGCTTGTGCAATGCACACACACCCAAGAAGTTTCTGAGATGTTGTGTTGGATCATCATCTGTGGAATTTCTGAAAAACCCCTCTGCTTTGAGCATTAGGATTAAACCGTGTTCCACCTTGAAAGTGGCAGCATCAACTCTTGGAGGTACAATAGAATTTGTATCCTCAATGTACTCATCTATGTCCGCAAAAGGATTCCCTTCTTCGTCATACTTGGCCATGTTTTCTTATCAACACCAAGCAAAGTGTGATGGGATAGAAGAAGATGTAAAATAAAGCACACACTAATTAGTAATTTCAAAACCGTATTCCCCGGCAACGGCGTCAAAATTTGATACGCTCAAATTACACATTAAATAAATAGTGTGAGGCAGTCGGTGTCAAATATAATTACCCAACAAGGTTGGGGTCGAATCCCACAGGGAATAGGTGTGAAAAGGTTACTTGAGTAGTGTGAAACTAGACTTAAGTCGTAATTTTATTCCATTAGCTTAACAAGAGAATGATATAATTGTGATTTAACGAGATAACTATTTTGTTATGAGAATGTGATTAATTTGATTAGGGAAACCAAGTTTGTGTTCCCATCAATGAAATGTAATTTTATCGATGTTAATATGATATATTTTTAGTGGAAGGTCCATTGATATGCAAATGGTTTCTAAATGACTACCCAATATTTTCCAATGGTTTACGATTTTCCCAAATTTAAAAGAGTTGCAATTAAGAACAACAAATTTTTGTCAACTAGAACCCACTTATTCCTGAGCGATTCTATTAAACAAGGTTTAAGATCTTGAGTTCTTGATATTCACTTCTACCAAACCCTAACCCACTTTTCCAAGTAAAGAAAGAGTAAAATGGAATAAGTTAATGTTTGCAACCACCAACAATAAATAAAGCACAAGAAATCAATAAAGATCAACCAACCATTATATATATTCAATGTTAAACACCCATTAACAAAAGCAAAGCAATAAATAGAGTCATAAAGCTTACAAAAGTGCAAGATACTTTCTTCATAAGCTTCCAAATTAATGGTGTATTCAATGCCTTCAATGTAGTCCCTTTTCAGACTTAATGCCCCACAAACCTAGTAAATCTATTTATAGTGGACTCAAAGTTGGGGTCAAGATTGGACAAAAATGCCCACGCAGAGCTCTTATGTGACCGCATAATGATCGAAGACCATGTATGCGGTCCGCATAGTTGACAATTGCATCACAGAACTTCAGGTCCTCAAGCCCAGATTCCACCGCATTTCCATTATGCGGTCCCATATCAATTATGCAACCGCATTTTCCATCACAGAAGTGCTACGCAGGTTCTTCAATTTCAGTTATGTGGTCATTATGCGGCTCGCAGAAGTGTTATGCGATCGCACAATCTTTTCTCCATTTAGCAAAACAACTGCTTCAGTTTGCGGTGGTTATGCGTCCACATAGTACTTCTGCGGTCGCATACTTTCAGCATTCCTACTCTTTTGTGGCTTTTTGAATTCTTTTCCATGTCTTTGGGTCTTCAAGTCTTATGCTCTACAAAATACCAAAACTTTATCAAATTTAACTACAAATGCATTGAGAGACGAACTAAAGTCTATGTAATTGGTATCAAAAGTGCCGAAATTCTATGGCACATCAGGCTTCATACCTGCGGATATTTCCCCTGTGCTCCACACATTTTTCATTGCCCCCACACTCAAGGAATTTGCGGTCGTACATGAGGTTTTGCCTCAGCACTCCAAAATTTTCCCTCCGCACTTCAACTGCTCCAAAACAATCATCAAAGTGGTGAAATGCCCAAACTTGTTTAAAACTCACCCGAAACACACCCCGAGGTCCACGGGACCCAATCCCAACATACCAATATGTCCTAAAACATGATACCAACTTAGTGGAGTCCTCAAATCACATCAAACAATATTAGAAATATGAATCGCAGCCCAAATTCAAGCCTATTAACTGTGAACTTCCAAATTCCAAAACCAATGTCGATTCATACCAAACAACTCCGGTTGATACCAAATTTTGCACACAAGTCATAAATAACATTATGGACCTATTCCAACTTCTGGAATCGGGATCGAACCCCGATATCAATAAAGTCAACTCCCGGTCAAACTTCCCAAAAATCTTCCATTTTTATCTTCCACCGAATCATGCCGAAACGACCTACGGACCTCCAAATCAACATCCGAACACGCTCCTAAGACCAAAATCACTATACTGAGCTATTGGAACCATCAATACTCCATTTTTTGAGTCATCTTTGCAAAAGTCAAACAACAATGAATTCCTACGACTTAAACTTCCAACTTAGGTTCACTTAGAAACTCTCCCGAACCCGACACCAAGCACCCCGACAAGTCACGTATCCACAATATAACTTAGAGGGAGCATAAATTAGGGGATCGAGGCAAAAATACTCAAAACAACCGGCCGAGTCGTTACAGTCTGTCAGGTTTATTCGAATGTTATGCGAGCTGGGTAGTTCTTTACCAGAGTTCTTCTTTCCTTATTTGTCATATTCGAGTTATAGGTTGTTAGCACATTGATAGAGTTGTATGAGATTTTAGATGGTGTTTGAGGTGTCTTAATGCTCGAGCAGCTTGTACTAGGTGAGAAGATGCCGGTTGACCTTAAATCAGTGCAATCGAATTTAAATAATGTATCTTTGAAGGAAAATGTCACTAATCAGTTCAGAATGAGGCAATGGTTCTTGTTAAGAGAAAAGACTCCGTGAGTTATTGATTTGGCAGGTGGTCATGAGTTTTTACACACATATTTCATCGTTGTAGTATTGAGAGGGTCGGAACGGGGTTTATACGTGTTATGAGGTATATTACGGGCATCAAGATCGTGAATTTGCAGCTATTGTGGTTGGAGAATGTTATTACGGGCATACAAATTATGCGTGCATTGTGTGATGGCGACATGAGTGCATGATCACGTTTTGGTTCAGCATGTTGAGATTGACACGGTGCACGTATATTAGATTTCAGAACTTGTAGCGAATTTCGGATATTAGAATTTTGTTCTACGGCTTATGGTCTAAGGTAACAGGAAGGACCTTCAGCCTGACTTGAGCTAATGTGATCACACGGGTTGTAATAGAACAGGCAGGTGCATGAAGTGTTAAATAGTGACTTTGGGCAACTCTGGAATGGTTCTTAGCACACCAAGGACGAACATATGCTTAAGCAGGGGAGAATGTAACCGGTTGTTTTGATTTCTAGCACTTCGTTCGACTGTTTAAGGCCTTGAGTAACTTCACTTTATATAGTATGACTTGCACGCATGGCTGATTTCGATTTACGAGGAGTTCGAAGTTGATTTGGAAGAATAATTCTCAATTAGGAAGTTTTAAGTTGGAAGAGTTAACCAAGGTTTGAATATTGAGTAAACGGCCTTATAAATTGGGATTTTAAGGTTCCAATATGTTTGTATGATGATTTTGGACTTGGGCGTATGTTCGGGTTGAGTATCAGATGATTTGGGAGCATTTTCGCGCTTATTGTGGAAACTTGGCATTTAAAGGTTTTAGAATTTTTTAATTTTGTTATCAAGAGAACTTTGGTATTATTGATGTCTGCTTGGGATTTCGAGTCTTGGAAGAGATTCGTATTGTGATTTGTGACCTGTGCGTAAAATTTGGCGTCATTCCGGAATGTTTAAGTGTGATTTGGACGCGTTCGATGAAGTTTGAATGTTTTATATTTGAAAGAAGGATTTTGATCGTCGATTCATGTCTTTGATGTTATTCGTAGAATTTAGAACCTTTAAATAAGTTTGGATAACGTATTGGGAATTGTTGGTGTGATTGAGCAGGATCAGATAGGGCCTCGGGTGTGTTTCAGATAGTTTTGGATTGTGCCGCGCTCTTATTTGATATTTCGACCTCATTTCTTTGGGCATAAAGGGTATTATATTGAGCAAAATGCCTTTAATTTGTGATTAGATTGAACCATTAGATCCATTTCGTAATTACAGAACCATAACAACAAGATCGCCAAATTCTGAGGTCGTATGAGAGAGTTATGCCCATTTCGGTATCGGATAATATTGTCGTTTCTGGTACAAACTTTTGTTCGTCGCGAATGCGAAGAAGGAATTCTGGGTTGACCAGTAGATGCAAAAAATTTCTCTTCGTGAACGCAAAGGTGTTCCGCGAAGGCGAAGAACAAAAATTACCTAGGCAGTGTTTTAAGTTGGGAGACCGAGCATTTTAGTGTTTTGAGCATACTTGAGTTCTAGAGTACCATTTGAGGTGATTTTTATGGCGTTCTCTTCTCAATAAGGGGGTAAATATCTAACCTTTAGTTTGATATTTTCTCATGATTATTTCCGTTGGTTATTATTTTTATCCATATTTGGATGGTAGAAAATGGCCTTTTGAGCCCCAATGTTGGGAAATGATAAATCCTTGGTTTGAGGGTCAATTCATGGACGAAATTGGATAATTCTCTGTATATAGACTACATAAGTTATTGTTAATATATAGTTTCGATAATTTTCGAAATCCGGGCACGTGGGCCTGGGGTCGACTTTGTTGACTTTTCGAGCGTAATTGGGAATTGTTATATATTATTAAATTATGAGTATTTGGAAAATATTTTTATTGGTTTGCATGTTGTTTGTCTAGTTTTGGATCGATGGGCATCCTTTTGACGTCTTAGGGAGGCGTCGGAGCCGGTTATAGAACTTTGAAGCGAGGTAATTCTCATGTTAACCTTGTGAGGGGGAAATTACCCCATAGGTGATGTCTTTGATATGTACTATTTGTTGTGGGGCTATGTACGCACGAGGTGACGAGAGCCCGTAAGTAGCTAAAATCATGCTTATATCTGGGTAGACTTAGGACTATATTATGCGATATTTGTATTGTCTGAACTCAACTTGTTAGTTTAATTACCCAAACCTGTAAATGTAACTTGATTAGAGATCATGCTATATCAAGTTTTGAAACTTTGAGTTGTTTGGCAGGATATCTGACTGTTGTGTAACAATTATGCTTATTTTATGTTCCTATTCTTGTGTTGCAAACACGTGACCCGTAATTTGATAAGTTTCTTCCTTTCCTATGGATCGGGCCGAATACATCGACAGTTTATTGAGATGCATCTATGGTTTTCGCTGGTCGACCCTCGGCAGTGTACACGCTATTCTGGATCGGGCCGTACAACCTCAGCATAACTCGTGCGTAATACTGCTAGGAGTTCGAA